ACAACTTTAATATGTTAATAAATATGTGTGTTTAGTAGTTTAGTTTCATGATTTAAATTAATGCAATGGTTTAACATATATAAAGGTTTAATTAAATAGTTCCAACTATGAAATTTGAAATTGTTTTAATTGGTTTTAGTGGTCAAATGATTTTATGACTTAAGAAACTAAATGGGCTTTCAAAGAGCTTGATTCATAAATTAGCTTTCAATGAGCTTAAGTCAAGGTTTTTAATTGGACTTTAAACCTATAGTTTTCCATTACGTTAGAGGTTTATAAAATGATTTTGGTATTTTGAGAAACTTAAGATTTTATGAAAAGGAATAATTTTTAATGAAGCTTGAAATTTTTATCTAACAATTAATATAATTATTCAAATTTTATATCTATATTTAATGAAAATTGATTTGGTAATGTTTAACCAAAATTTATTTTAAAATATTTGAATATGTTTTGTATAAATGTGTTCGATGGGTAAATGACATGATTTTCTATTTATATTAAATGAATTTTTGTTGCTTATTTTATTTTATACATGATGTAGAGAGCACGAGGCTTAATGTATCACATTCATTACACTTCAAGTATAAGACATTACCGATAGCATTCTTGGCCTACTTTAGGTCCTAGGACGAAGGTTTTACAAAAAGGGTTACGATTGGATAGGACGCTACTAAAACCTATATCTTTTCATTATCTTTTATTTAATCTCATTCATCATTAAATATATCATTTAAATCTTTTCATCATTAATATAACCATCATTCATTCTTAAATTCTAAAAAAAACCTTCATTGTCATTCAACATTTATAAATAATCTCAATTTATTGTTCATACTCGATTACTAAACAATAATTTTCAACATTGAGAAATTCAATATTCTTACATCTAATATTCAAAAGAGCATACATAAGCCTTGAACATTCTTACATAAATTCATACTCATTCATTAAAATACAACATATTCTTCATTCCTTTAGCGACACCCAAGGTAAGCACATGAGTCACTAGATACTAAGAGTAACATTAACATTTTCCACGTTTGCAACAATACATACACCACAAGATGAAATATGAGCAAACGCCCAATGAGCATGGTTATGCATAACATTTCATGAACTTTCATGATGTATATAAATTCATTTTCCTCAACGTTGAGTAAAACAATGCTTTCATCAAACTATGTCATAAATCTTGTGGTGTTAGTAAGGTCATTAGTGATTCCCTTACCAACATCCTTTATAAAACCATATGGTATTAGTAGGGTTATTACCGATTCTCCTATCAATACTCTATACTTTTATCAATACCCTTTATAAAATCACATGGTATTAGTAGAACCATTATTGATTTCTCTACCAATATGCTTTATCAAAACCATATGATATTAATAACTATTACCAATTCCCTTACCAATATCATTTACTTCTATCAATACATTTTTCCTTAAAATCAAAGCCATTTGCCTTTCATGCATAACATGATTTCAATATATTTCATAAAATATGCAAATCAATCTTCATGATGCAAATGCACATAGAAAGACACCATAGACTTATATCTTCACATAGTATATTTAATCACATACACATTCCATTACATAACACTTTTAATCACATAATCATATTCACACACACATACTTTCACATAGTATATTTAATCACATATACATTCCATCACATAATTAACATCTTTAATCGCATAATCATATTCATACACTTATACCTTCGCATAGTATATTCAATCATATACACACTTCCCCATATAATACATTTAGTCACATAATCATATTCGTACATAATAACACAATCAAACACATAAAGTTATTGTTGTGAGTTGAACTATGCTTACCTTAGTTGCTTTACAATTCAACAATTATTCTCCTCAAGCAATTTAATTCCTATCATTAAAACAATCCATAATAAATTTTCTATTCTAGTCAATAAACTCACAATTAAACTCTTTACAAAATAATTAATTAATAAATCTCAAAATTTAGATTTTACTATTCATCATCTTTAATCTTTCAAAAATTTAGATTTTACTATTCAATCTTTTCAAAAAATGTGTTTATCATCACAAGAACAATTTCATAACCACATACTAAAAATTCAGCCCAACCTAAACTCTACAACATCTTACGTATACAAAATCCTCAATTTAATCAATTAAATCCTAAAACAATTCTTATAATAAAATCAAGTCAATTAAACTCCAAATTAACTTCACAAATCATTAACCCAAGATAATTAATCATAATCTAATCAATTAAAATTATTTATATCATATTTTTCTCAAATTTCTTTTCAATTCATCATCTTAACCAATTTAGGAATTTCTCAAATTCATAGTCTAATAATCAATTTCAAATCACCATTATCTCTTATTTCAAGCATTAATTAGCATAAATAAGTGTTTAATCATAAAATCTACAAATTCAATTCAAATTCTAACCTTGACCTATCTCATTTTTTAATCAATTAAAATTATTTAAATCATATTTTTATGGCATTTCTTTTCAATTTATCATCCCAACCAATTTAGGAATTTCTCAAATTCATAGTCTAATAATCAATTTCAAATCACCATTATCTCTTATTTCAAGCATCAATTAGCATAAATAAGTGTTTAATCACAAAATCCTCAAATTCAATTCAAATTCTAACCCTAACCTATCTCATTTTAATCAAACAATAAACCCAATATAAATTAAGTCCAAAATCATTAACAAACACATATAAACAACTCAATTTGAAGATTAATTGACAAAAATCTTATCGTTGTTTGTGATACAAATTTCAAGCTCAAGGACACTAAATCTTTAGGCTCCAATCTTGTCTAATTCCAACTTATATTATGAAAAACTAACATAATTTAATGTTTTTTTTTTTTTATGGTAAAATGGGTTAGAAATTGGTGAGGAATGGTGGAGATGAATCAAAACAGTTATGGTTTGAGAGAGGAAAGAGAAGGCAATGAAGAAATGGGGAAAAATAGGAAGAAACAAGGCTGCACGTTTTTTAACAAAATTGAGGAGTTAGTTTTTTCTAAAAAAAAAAACTTCCAAACTCATTTCTACACTTCCATTCAATCCTCACAATATCCACTACTATGATTCATCTCACTTAATAAACTCTAAAGCACTCCAATTACCTTATTTTTTTCTTAACCTCTAAAGCATATGTATTCAAAACACCACAATTAAATAAACAATCACATATTTTAACAAAAATATTATCAAACACTCACACACATAAAGCATACACATACATAATATATATATATATATAAAATCCTCTTAAAGCCCATTTCACGCCAAGAGAAAGACTGTTTTACCCTTAAGAAAAAGATGAATATGCCCTTTACTCCATGTCGCTTAACCATCTATGTTACTATATAAAGGTTAACATAATATGTGTTAAATAGGTTTTGTCTTCTATACTCTACACATATACACAATAATATTGTATATCTTTTTCAATTAGAGCAAAATATATTTTTAAGCCTATTTAGACCAAACTCTAAAAAAATATACCACTAAACCTATTCAGAGTTAAACATCTCTCTCTGTAAACTAATTTAGCCATTGATTGGTCTTCCAAACACCGAAAAAAAGTTGTTTTATAGATATCAGCTCGTAGATCGTCAAGATACGTACAATCTTCGTCTTATAATAAGCCAATGAGACACGACATCTAACCGTTTATATAATCCGAGGATCACGACTTCATCATGAACTATTAAGGTATAATAGATCTAGTGCAACAATAATGATCGATGATTGCAACTCGTATTTTTCATATAGGAGGTTTTGTGGATTCATAGCCCCAATACACCGAAGATTTGCATAACGGATATATTTGGTAATCAAGTTGCAAGGAATCTACTCATGGTTTGAAATAGCTACCCTCACATAAGGTAACCGTTGCTATTTAATAGTATGAGACACACTCATTATCGTTGTTTGTTGCTATAAGGAACCTAATGTTGTTTAACACAAAGAGCGACAATAACGATCGTTATCGTTATATAACACTCGCTATTGCTATTATTTAAATGATATCGGCTACTATATTTAAAAAAAAAATTAATGTGTGTCTTAAAGTTGTAATGTATCTTATTAATTTTTATGTGATATTAAACTATTAGAAATGCTACTAACTTTATTTTATTATAAATTCAACTATTATTATATGATATTAAATTATTAGAGATATTATTAATTTATTATGCTTAATTAGTAAATTGTTAAATATATAAAAAATAAAATAAATTTATTAACGAGTTATTAATACATTCACAATATCGATTATCACAACTCTTATTTTACTATTAGAATAAATATCGATTTATAATCATAATCACAATTATTTTTACAACTAGGTTCACTATTTAAAACTACCAAAATAGTCACCCGCAAGCGCAAGTAGGTAAATTTGGTTTCTGTTTTCATTTGATTTTGATTTTGTTAGATACGGAGCTCCATATACCTCGCAAGCCATACCTCATCTTAACTTTATGGACGCGGGTTTTATAGCTCACCCTACATCTCCGAACTCAAAGGCCATCTAACAAAACTATAATGATTTTATTAGACAAGAAGGTCCATATGATGCATTACGCACCTCAGCTTCCTGCGTCAAAAGCCATTAATCTTGCCTGGATCGACAGACAAGCTCCACTCGCATGAATATTCAAGATCCCAATTTTTCCTTCTGTTCGTACTGTTTTATTAAAATTTAAAATCCATCATACGAACCAAAAATTGATTGAATGTGAAGCATTGGATTCGAGGGTCGAGGCTATAGCAGCTACTAGATAAAAGGCCTACAAATTATGTAATTTCCGTAGCCTAGTAAGCAATTCCATTTTCAACATGAAATCAGATTGGCTGCTGCAGGTCTATGGAGGTTTTAGTTTTACTATGTATGCAGCTGCAACTGCGAGTCTCTCTGTTGTCGTTTCAAATTAAATAAAGAAGAGAACAGAGCAAGCTAGGCTAGTACGTACTGATCTCCTCAATTTCAGTGCCAAAGCCACCAGACAATATGGGATTGGTGACTGTGATTGGTTTCCTGGACGAAATCCTGTGTGGTCAGCACAAAACTCAAATTGGAGAAAATGGAGGGATTTGGGTACGGTTTGTTTGCCATGATGATTTTCTTGTATTGTACGAATCAGGAATCAGAAAGCAGGTATGCACAGGATCGGTATACGATATATGGATATTATATCAATTCAGTAGTCATGGATTTTTTATCAGGAATAAATGGAGTTAGATGAACAAAGTCATCTTCTTTTCGTTTTTTTTTTAATTTTAATTTTTACAATAAAGTTACAATTTTTGGATCTTACTTTCACCGATCCAGATTAAATAAATAATTTAATAAAAAATTATTTTCATTTTTACCGTCTCCAGTTAATAGTTACAGTAATTCTTTTACTCGTTCTTTTATCTTTATTATTTTGTTTCGTTTTAAATTCATCTATTAGCTTTTTGAGCTAATAGATTAAATCAAACATTTATCCTCATAAAATTGCAACGCCTATCAATTTTTTTTTCCGTCTTAATCACATCTCTCTCTTTTTTTAAACTAGATTTAAATAAATAAATTTTAAAAATAAAGGAAAAAAATGTGAAGATATATTTGGTTATTCTCTCTAAAAATTAAAAAAAAAAGTGAATATAAAAATATTTTTTATCCAAAATGTTCTTTATAAATTTAAAGGCAAAAAAGAAAAGCATATATATAAAATTTACTTATTCATTAATCAAACTAAATTTCCAAAACTACATACGGAGTTTCAAAAATAAAAATGTTAAACATTAAGTAACAATAAATAAATAAAAAACTTCAAGAAGATTACCAATCAAGCTCATGATTTTTTTTTAGAAAAATTTCTTATTGTTTATTGTTAAATTTTTAGCAGTACTTGCAAAGAACCACAGTCAACATGAAATATTGAGACATTCACATCACCATATGGGCATCTTCTCCTTAAAATATTGAAAGGGATGAAATTTGCAAAATTAAATTTTATATATATATATATATATTGGGTTTAATAGCTGTTTTTACTCTTGAATGATTGAGGTGGTAACATATTGAGACATTTACTATTAATTTTGTCATTTTTTTTTGTGAACTATTATGTTTTGAATAAAAATTATCTTTTTATTTGATCTGACCATTATAATTTATAAAAAAAAAACTCCTTTAAAAAATTCTCTTTTTTTTTTTTTTTTTTTTTTTTGTATTTTTGGCTCAAGTTTTTGTCATACATACTATTGAAAATTCAATTTACGTCCACAAATAATTTCTAATTTTTTCATAGTGGAAGACTTTTTTTTAACAATAAAAATTCAATAAACTATGGAAAATAGAAAATAACCTGAAATTATCTCAATTTTTTTGAAAAGTCCTAAAGAAGTCATATGAATTTACATATATAATTTTAGTGTGATTCTAAAATATTTGATAGCGTGGTTTTCAAATTTAACATATTTTAAGCTTTAGTTTTGTATTACACATTCAATTATTCAAATATTTCAAAAATCATACAAAGACTAAACAGATAAAAATATATAACCTTTTAGAACCTCCAAACAAATTTGGGATCATTTTAAATTATTTTTTATAATTTTATAAATATTTAATATTTAAGAAGAATTAAAAAATACTTTCTGATTTCATTTTTTTTAATTATTTTTTAAAATAAATTATTTTTTTATTAGCATATTTGAAAATTTTCAACTCAAAATATTAAAAATGAATTATTTTAAAAGAGTTTTAGATCAATAATAGCGATCTAATCAAATGTAAAAATATTAGTCTAAAATATGATAATTTAAGAATAAAATTAACTAAATTTACAATACAAGTATCAACATGCCACAACTCTAATGATTCACAGTAAAGAATGCCATTAAATCTATCTTTTTTCCTTTTTCATTGTTTTTTCAAGAGCAGGGATAACAAACGGGTTAATGGTTCATATAGTTTCTCTACTTCAAAAAAAAAAAAAACTAATCGTGTTTTTTTTGTTAAATTTTTTATTAATGTAATCTCTCAAAGTTTACTTTTAAGTCTTAATTTCGTTTCTTCATCCAAATTTCTAGATAACAACGCACGCGAAATTGAAAAATGGTAATTTTTTTTAATTTGTTTTTCGAAATTAAGTAAGTAAATTTTAACATAACAAGATGCTGGATTTTCTGGTTCGGCAGCCAAGAGATGCTCAGCAACTTGTGCTCCACTCCAGGCACCATTTGTTCCATACCCAGAAATCATCACCGTCCAAGCTATTACATTCCTTTCCTTCATCACATCAAAAACCTCTCTCGCTTTACTCACATTCCCACACCTTGTGTACATATTAATCAACGAAGTACCAAGCACCACATTCAAATCCAAACCATTCCTAACAACATACTCATGCACCCAACACCTAAACTAAATGCACCCAAATGAGCACAAGCGGGTAAAACACTCACAAACGCGGCCGAATCCGGTTCAACGCCCATTTCCTTCATTCGATCAAACAACCCAATTGCCTCTTTAGCGTACCCATTTTGCTCACATCCACAAATCATCGCCTTCCACGCCACGATAATTATGTCACGCATTTTATCAAACATCTTTCTTGCATTACCCATATCACCGCACTTTCCATAAAAAGCCACCAAAGCAGCTTGAAAATACACATCCAACCCAAATTCATTAACCAAAACATACCCGTGGACAATCCCCGCATGTTCCAGGGTTAGTGGCCCCTGCATTAGCCCCGCCACTTCTGTGCATCTCACTTCGAGGAGTTAACGAAATTGCAAGCGACGGCCTCCTATGCGGCGTGAACATCGGAAAGCTTGATTGCTAAATCAGAATAAAAAAATTCGACCCAAGAAAGATGGGCCAAGTTATGGTTTTTGTTTCCGTCCAGCGGAGAGTTAACGGATTTGGGAAAGTGGTTTCTTTTAATCTTGTGTTCTGTGGCATCGTTTGGAAGAATTTTACGGTTTAAATTGAAGGGAGAAGGAGAAAGAAAATTTGGGGAGAAATGAAAGTGAAAGGGGGATTTTGGGGTTTTTATAAGGGGTATTTTGAGTTTTCATTTTTCATTTCAGAAATTTATTTACTTAATTTTGGAAGAAAAAAAATTGTCTCTCGTTAATATTTTGTGCTCTATGAGGGACGAAATTAAAGTGCAAAGTAAATGTTAAAAGATTATATTAATAAAAAATACTCTGAAGACAAAAAAAAAAAAAAAAAGGAGTGGAGAACCCTTGAAAAATTTACTCAAGAACAAAACAATAACATTAACGATTCAAAAAAATAAATAAATAAAAGAACGACCAGTCAAAAAAAATAAAAATAAAAAACGACCAAGAACAAATAAAAAAGAAAAAAGAAACGACATAAAGGAATTAGACTGCCTCGCCGTTGCAGCCAAACTAACAAAAAACACAACACCAAGTCACCAAGCAACAAGAAAAACCTGGGAAACAAACTTCACTGAACAATGATGTTCAAAACCCACAATTCTGTTATTACATTAAAAACCTTATTACAATCAAAAACCCAGCTTGAACATCAAAGCAGTAAACTTCACCACTTTTTTCAAAATCGGTCTATTGTAAAAGTTAGGCTTAAATGGGTGAAAAACAGAACTTTAGACCATGTAATTGATACAGAGACTGATCTTAAAGCAGCTTGTCTTTTAAAAGATGCAATCAAAAGGTCTCCTACTGGATTTCTCACTGCAAAGTCTGTCTCTGAATGGCAAAAACTTCTTGGCCTTACTGTGCCTGTTTTACGTTTTATGCGCAGGTATTTTGATCTGTTTATGTGGTTTTTTTATTACTCTTGAAGTGATTTTGCGTTGTTTTATTGAATGTAGGGTTGTAGAAATGAATGTTTTCGATAAATGTTTGAATCTTTTTTCAGTTTTTAAGTGCCCTTTTTCTGATTTTCCCTTAAACTGATAACTAGGTTATGTGGTTGTTTTCCGATGAAAAATTGAGAGGATTTTGTGCTTTATGAATTGATGTGGAAATTGGAGTTTGGAAGTTTACCAATTTTACATATTTTCTTTGGTTCTAAATTGTTAGTTACTGTGCTTCTATGGGTCCTAAAATTCTGAGAATGCAACTCTCCAGTAAAATCGGTTTTCTTTCATGGATTTAGGAACACCTGCTTCGTAAATTTCCTTGTATTCAATTAATGACTTATTTGAATGATATTATTGATGGTTAAAGGAAATATATTTTTTTAACTATTTAATCCGTTTATGTGTAGGTACCCAACACTTTTTAATGAGTTTCCACATGCTCAATACGCAAATTTGCCTTGTTTTCGGTTAACGGACACTGCGCTCTTGCTAGATTCACAAGAACAAACTATCCATCAAAGTTACGAGAGTGATACAGTAGAAAGACTTTGTAGAGTGCTTATGATGATGAAGAGTCAGACAGTGCCCCTTCGATCTCTACACCCCTTGAAATGGGATCTGGGTTTGCCAGATAATTTTGAGAAAGTATTGATACCAAAGTATCCTGACCAATTTCAATTTGCTAAGGCATCAGATGGGGTCAGGAGTTTGCGGCTTGTGCAATGGCATGAAGAATTTGCAGTTTCTGCATTGCAGAGGAGCAATGAGACTAGTGAAAAGGGGACGGAGTATCGAAAGTTTAAGAGTGGACATACAGCTTTGACTTTCCCAATGAGTTTCCCAAGGGGCTATGGAGGGCAGAAGAAGGTGAGAGCATGGATGGAGGAGTTTCACAAGTTACCTTATATTTCACCTTATGAGGATTCAAGGAGGATTGACCCGGATAGTGAACTCATGGAGAAACGGGTTGTTGGGGTTTTACATGAGCTTTTGAGCCTCACAATTCATAAGAAGACTAAGAGAAACTACTTGAGGAGCCTGAGAGAGGAATTGATTCTTCCACATAAGTTTACTCGACTCTTTACAAGGTATCCAGGGATTTTCTACCTCTCGTTGAAATGTAAGACAACAACAGTTGCTCTAAGAGAAGGTTACAGACGTGGAAAATTAGCAAATCCACATCCTCTTGCTCGTCTAAGAGATAAGTTTTATTATGTGATGAGGACAGGGATTCTTTATCGCGATAAAGCTGTAAACATGATTCCTCGGGAACTTTTGATAAATGATGCGGAGTGTGAAACTGGACAAGAAGAATCTGAGGAAGAGGATGAAACAGGTGATGAATGCTATGAGGAAACCTCCGAGATGGAAGAGGGATCTGATGAAGAATAGTTTTATCCTTATAAATTTGCCAAATTGCCACATTTTACAAGCGAGAGAAATGGTCCTCGAGACCTTCAGGTATGAGGTAAGGAACTCAAACCAGAAGTATTGAATTTGGATAATTTTCTTGCTAGTTCCAAAAGTAGCTCTTCACTAGTTATCTCAATAGAGGTTTGTGTTTGTGCACATTGCATGCATGTGTTTTGTCTTCAACGTGACTAGGCGGAAAAAGCTGCTGATGCTGTTTCTGTATTTTTTCTTTGCAAATACTGATCAGAGCTAACATTTAGGTTCTATCATCCAAAAAAGTTGATTGCACGAACTGATGCTCCTATTTGATGAGTTTGAATTGAAATTACTGAAAACAAGGATTCATTGTTTTTATGATGAGAAGTTAGCTTTTGTTTTATATGTCCAACTTTCTGTGTGTTTCTTTTGTTCTGGATTAAAAGATACAGATTCTATTTGCCTTCTCGATTGCTTAACCGCAGTTTAGTTTGCCAACAAGTATGCTAGTTTGCTTTTGTAATCCCAAACTTGAAAAAAATTTCACCCACATATCTGCCCTTCAGGAGCACGAACCTAGTTGTTAACATGTGTGTGTACCTTTGGAATAGTGAGCCATCTTTAGTTAGATTGGCCCGTGTTTTATGTTTTCTCAACATTTTCTGTATAGGCTTCTTGGAAATCATGGGTGGTGTAACCGTGGAGGCAGGAAAATGCTGGCTTTGAAATGAAAATCTTGACTGCAAACAAATATTCACCTCCATGAGCTGTCCTCTCTGTGCTCATCAAGTTGTTGGCTTTCTTTTTCCCAAGTGTTATTTAAAGTGAGGGGTTCTAGCAACATAGCTAGTAATCATGTTGCAAGCCTGCCTGCCTGCAGAAACTGTCTCATAAATGCTGGAAATTTGCGAATCAATTTTGTTTTGAAGGTGTATCCTGAGTACGAAGGTTTTGATGAACAAATGCCATTTGTTGTCTGGTTGTTCCCGTGTGAGCTAACTCGATGATCATACACTAATATTTCGACATCATGGAGTCATTAAAGTTGTGTTCTTCCACTTGAAGGATCTTACAGATAGCGCAAAGGATCTATGATTGTTTACCATCACGAAGTCAGTCATTTGAGTTCGTTTCATCAAGGCGTGCCATTATGAGGTTACAAACTCTTTAAAAGTTCAAATTCCTGCTGACATAATCAGCTCTAGGCTAAACGGTCAAACATCTTCTGAACTGTAATCTATTTCAAAATTAGTTTCTGAAATTCTAATCTCTAATTTGACATTTCTTGAATTTTTTATTTTTTAGATTTAGTCTAATACTTTAGTTTTCTGTCAAAAATAATGATTATATAAATAATCTCATGATGAAAATTATTTAATAAGATTTATCTTCTACTCTTCAAAAAATTAGAATCATTTTGGGTTATTTAATATATTTTTTACATTTTTTTTTTGGGTAAGTAATTAGGATTCGTTAATATTTCTTCTCATCACTCTCAAGTTCAGGTCGATTGATTTTTACTAAAATTTGAAATCTATGTTAAGCCTGCTTTATCTAGAGATGAATGCTTTTTAGAACTTATGGTTAGACCTGTATGAAAATGCTTTGTGAGCTAACCTTAGTTGCCATGTCACGAAGATAGTTTTTCTCCATTGGCTTTTCCATTTTCTATTCTCACAATATGATCATCATGGAGCAAGGTTTGGTAAATTGTTATGGATTTTAGTTATGCCTATCCTATAACTCTTTAAGATCTATATCTAACGCAATCATTATGCACTTGCTCCAGTTAAATGGAACAAAAAAAGGTAACCCTTTTCTTCTAAAAGGATTTTCCTACCGAAAAGCAATTGATTTTGATGGATCTGATTGCGGTCGGATATCTGTAGCAATATATATATATATATATATATATATATATATATATATATATATATATATATATATAAAAAAACCAAGAGCATTTATTTGTGTGGTCATTATGGTAATTTGATATAAACTGGTTTGTTACATTTACACACATGCGCGCGTGCATGCATAGATCTTCTGGGAAGTAATTAAAGTTGGATTTTCTAAGTCATGGAAAGTTATTGATGGAGATACACTGATAAGGCTCGTTCCAGCGCAGCCCAACGAGAAAGATCCATGAACACACAACTCCAGACCCATTAATCCTGACTAGAGCCCATAAGTTTTGATACGGGGCAATGTCAAGACAGGCAGGACTAAAGTCCTCAAAAGACAGCTACTTCTTGCAAGCCGGAAGGTCCTCCAACAAAAGTTTAGGAATCCTCCAACCCAAGGGAGGACAAAACATTTAATAAAGATTCTCCAATGATTACATCAATTAGATATTACTTATCATATTGAACCTTATCGCCATCACAGATTAAATATAATGATAGTAGATCATCAATACTTGCATGTTCACCCACTAACACCAAGAAAATGATATTTTTATCCTTTCTATCATACAAGTTGCATCCATGAATATCTATATAAAAACTCAAACCATTATAAAGAAAAAGGTGATAATCTCTAATTTACGAAAAATTCCAAAACATGTTTTGTATCCTGTAAA